GTCAGGGCACATGCCCAGTTGCGGGCTCGATCAGTGACTCTCTCATCATTGATGTTTCTATCTCTCTCTCTCCCCCTCCTTTCCTCTCTCTGAAATCAATAAGGATATATTTAAAAATGATGAGAGAGTCATTGATCGAGCCCGCAACTGGGCATGTGCCCTGACAGGGAATTGAACACCGATTGCCTGGATCCTAGGTCAACGCTCAACCGCTGAGCCACGCCCGGCCGGGTGGAGATATATTTAAATAAATAAATAAATAAATAAATAAATAAATAAATAATGAGTTATTGAAAATCAATGAAAAGTAAAACATTTTTTAATAGCCCTCTTCGTGAAAATACCAGGTAGGTAGATGAAATAAAGTGCAAAGGAACTGATTCTGACTGAATAAGGTAACTTAAGAGAGAGAAATTTCTCTGCTCATTTAAAAAAAAAAAAAAAACATGTTATAAGTATTGTTCAGTTCTTGCTCTTACTGTTGGGGGGAAAGAGCTCGTCTGAATATGGAAATTAGAATCTCTGGGTAAGTATAAAGAGTTTGTGAATGAAAGTATCACAAGAGCCCTGCCTGTGTATCTGCTATGCAGTCTGAGTGATGAGCTAAGCCTTTTTGACCCTGAACTGAAAGCTCAGAGGCGTGTACAAATTTTTTTTAAATGTTGGCTTCAAGGTAAGATTGAAGATGATTAGTGAAAAGATACCAGAATGTACCTGAGAAAGTTAAATTATTTACTTTACTGACTGGTGTGGTTGTGGTTTACATATTTATTTTTTAAAGATGGTAAATTCTTATATATGTATCTGAACAAGGTCTTGAACAGAGTGTCCTAAATTTGAAAAGCAGATACCCTATTGTTTATTGCATGGCACTGAAGCCTCACTGCTAGCATCTCTGTTCCGTTTCCTGGAACATAGTCAAGACTTTTAAAATACTCATTATAAAAAGGGATGTAAATTTTATATGTATATTTTAATTTTATTTAGTAAAAATAAATAAATAAATGTATTTGAATTTTTTAGTGAACGTGATGCACTTGAACAGGAAGTAAGCGAGCTAAGGAGAAAACATGAAATCCTTGAAGCCTCTCATATAATTCAAGCTAAAGAAAGGAGTGAATTATCAAAAGAGGTAAACTAGAGTTGTTTTTTATTATACAGTGATTGTGGACATAGGGCAGGATTGTGGGAGGGATATTTTTTCCTTTTTGATGTAGTTGCCAGAAAGAAGGGACATTAGTAGCTGTGTTTGGATGAAAAATGGCAAGGTAAGAATTAGCCCTTTTATGTGGTGAGCGAAAGCACAAAGACAAGCCAATAACACAGTAAACTTGAAAGTAGGGTGCCATCGCTCTGAGCACATGCGCTCGCGCAGGTCGCCACCTTGCAGCAGACCACGACGCTGCTGCAGAAGGACAAGGAGTACCTCGGCCGCCAGAACATGGAGCTCAGCGTCCGCAGCGCGCACGCCGAGGACCGCCTGGAGCGACTGCAGGGGCAGCTCGAGGAAGCCAAGAGGGCCAGAGAAGAGATGTATGAAAAATACGTGACGTCCAGGCAAGATTTCCGCTATTTTACTTTTAAATATTAGCCTACCAGTTACCCACAACCTTTGCACCAACCTATTTTACATATAAGTAGATATAAAATAACACCAGCTTTTTTTTTTAAAATATATCCTTATTGATTTCAGAGAGAGAAAAGGAGAGGGAGAGAGAGAGAGGGAGAGATAGAAACATCAATGATGAGAGAGTCACTGATCGGCTGCCTCCTGCACGCCCCCGACTGGGGATCGAGCCTGCAACCCGGGCATGTGCCCCAACCGGGAATCGAACCCCGCTCGCCTGGATCCTAGGTCGCTGCTCAACCGCTGAGCCACGCCCAGCCAGGCAACACCATCTTCTTTGAAGGAGCTCTTTCCCTGGAGAAGAATAATTTTTTTAAGGTCTGTACGATGATGTTAAGATAATAGTTCATTTTGTTCCCTTAGAAGATGTTCTCAGTCTGATTTTTTCTGAAGTCTTTTTGGCTTTTTCAACAACCAAAAGCCTATTTCTTTTAAGTGGGAGTGTATACATAGACTGCAACTATTTTTATTTACTTTATTTCTTACAACATAACCTTTCCGATTCCCTATGACTGACATTTCTATGTAAGTGTTTTTTAAAGAAAGTATATAAGTATCTCTATAGAGGTATCTCTGAAGAAAATCTAATCATGAGGAGACAGTGCTGTATACTGTTTGAAGAATCAGGCTCTGGACTCAGACCCCTCTATTTCAATTCTGTCTTTTCAGCTACATGTATAAGCTATTAGAGCTCCCTTATACTAATAGTCCTTATAACCCTTGAGTTATTTATTTTTAATAGCACATCAAAAACTAAAACAAATTCTAAATATTATCCTCCAAGACTTTACACATTCATACCTTTTTCCTTAGCCTGTGGTATTTTTCATCTGTTTGTGCTCCTGCTAATACCCTGTGTAATGCTTTGACTTTGCTGAGAGAGCACAGTGGATATAGTTGTGCTTTGAAGGAAAAGTTTTCTAAAAACTCAGAATCATTTTGTTCTTCTATTTTTTATTACAGGGTTGGGGAAAAGTAGATTTACAATTGTTCATATGGAAAATAATACAGTAATTAGTAAATTATTGAATAAGTAATTTAAGAATAAACTCTGTGTTTTGTGTACTCACAACTGTAAACCTACTTTTGCCCCATGCTGTATTATTTGTCTATCAGCTTATAGCATGCCAGCTTTATTTCTAAATGAAGGCCATTCCGTATGTATCTGTTTTCAAATTTCTAGTCATGTACATTAAAAAGTATTAGTAAAATCCTCTTGAAGATGAATAATTATTCAAATTGAGTTAACTAACATTTTATATAGTAATTAAGCCTTAAAGACAGAATGTTTAAAAGGATATCTTAGATGGAACTAGTTGGAACAGTATTTTTAGGAACTACAAAACGTTATATGTATCAGCTGTTTTTCAAGCAGCATTGTATTTAGACGGTATTTGACATATTAAAATCTTACAAGAAGGGTAATACCTATTTCTTTTACAAAAATAAATTCATGGGCATTCCTTTGATTTCTTGCAGAGACCATTATAAAACAGAATATGAAAATAAACTACATGATGAACTAGAACAAATCAAATTGAAAACTAATCAAGAAATTGATCAACTTCGAAGTGCCTCTAGGGAAATGTATGAACGGGAAAACAGGTAAAAAAAAAAAAAAAAAAAAAAGTAGGAAATTTGTGCAATATTTCTTTTCTCTTTATTTGAAACTTACAGTTTTATTGAAATTAAACTTTATTTCTGTGACATAATGTCTTTTTTTAATGCGTTAATGAAAATTTGTCATAAATCTAAATATAAGTATAATAGAACATTGAAGTTCTAAGATCTTTGATAACTAGCTTAGAACATGGTTTATCAGACCTTAGGCCTCTTTACTGTGGTATTCCCTTTATCCCTTTATTACCCTCGTAACTTGTCTTTTTGCCTTTACCTGCTAAAATCTTCAGGAAATTTTTAAAAACTAGAGTAATATGAATTATTGCATATTCCTCATTTAGCTGCTGGTCCTGAAAGACATCATGTTAAATAATCTTGAGAAAGGATTCTTTTTATTCATGCAGTTACTTTCAGATCAATATATAGTAGGTTCCTTAGTGATTGGCAATAGTAGGAGAAAATAAATGCTGCTTATTTCAATGGCATGTATTTTTATATGCCATCATTATATGTCATACGGCTTTTCAAAGTGTATATTATAGTGGGAAAATTATTTTTAAATTGACTTGTTATATTAGTTTATCAGCATGATTTGAGTGTATGATATTTTTACCTTTTCCAACAAAAGCAAGACTTTAAATCAGACTAAAGCTGATGTTAGAAAAGTTTACATTTGAGCTCTCAGAACAATAAATTTACTTATTTAGAAAATATTTATTGAGACCCACCATATGTGAGATACATGCTAGATGCCATAGACAAAGTTGCCAGTCTAATGCAGGATAAAGAAAAAATGTTAAGTATGATGATAATGGAGAAAACAGAGGATATGCAGGATGAGACCACATACACTCGAGGTATATCTAACCTAGCCTTGGGAGGAATCAGGGAAGACTTTGGGAGGGAGAAATACCCGTCTTAACACCTACATGATGACAAGAGTAAGACTGTAGGGAAGGAAATTGGCGGGATAAATGTACAACATGTATAAAAACCTTGGAGGCAAGACAAAAATGAAACTTTTGAGCAAACAATATAATTGAGTAGGGCTGGAGTGTAGAATAAGGAGCAGGGAGTTGTAAGAGATGAAACAGAAGAAGGAAACCGGTCCAAATACTGTTTAAGACCAGTGGGGAACGACTGAGAAATTTCAAGAATATGCTTGATATGATCAGATTTTATATAACAAGACCACTCTGCGATGTGGAGAATAGATTGAAGAAGCAGAAGGCTGTAAACAGGCCACTTCTAGAGGTTGTTTTGATTAGCACGATGAGAAGTGATGACAGAACTGGATTAGTAGCAGCAGGAATGGAGAGAAATGGGCCAGATTGGAAAAATGTTCAGTAGGTGGAACCAAAACAAGGTTCAGTTACTAGATTGGATTGAAGAGTGATAAGAAGTTAAGGATGTCACCAGGTTTCTTGCTTGCTTGCATGCTTTCTTTCTTATATAAGTTTCAGGTGTACAGCATTATAATTTGACATGTGTATGCACTACAAAGTTATCACCCCCAAAAATCTAGTTACTATTCATCATTCACCAGATTTCTTGATTGGGCAACTGTGTAGATGGTGATGCAGTTTTTAAGACATTAGAAGACAAGGCTTTAATTGGTAAACATGATAAATTTAGTTTCGCTTCATTTGAAGTATATGAAATAGGCAAATAGAAAAGTTGACTATATATGGTTCTAAATTACAGGAGAAAGATCTAAACATGAGATAGACCTGTGGCATAGATGTTATTGTTTCTGTTTTACAAATATATACTTTTAGTCGTGTGGCTCAATTCTGTTATGGATTTATAAAGGCTTTTATTAATCTACTTAATAACCTTAAAATTTATGGAATTGTAACATGTATGATTATTTCCAAACAATCCACATTAGCCACATAAACTTTGATATGTAATCATTTTGAGAATTTCCTGATTTCTTAGTTTTTTGTTGTTGTTTTTAAGAAGTCTTTTAAAATGCATCCTATGGTGACATAAATTTAGGTAAATTAGCACCTATTCTCAAAGATAGTTGGTAGAGGTAGTTGTGAAACAGCTGACCGAACCATTTCTGGAAGCTGGGAAGCTGAAAGGTTCCCTTTTCCCCACTGTTCTGACTCCATATCTACATCAAAATGGACACCACCTAATCAGGAGATTGCAGGGATTGGGGCTGCTGTCCTGCAAGCCCCCTTAAGTCACAGGAACCTCATGAACGACCTCATGAATTTTAAAGCTACAGTGGACAGTTGCCACCAGGTGGTGCTAAACTACAACCTGGTCCAAATGGCTTTGAATTGCACAAGGACTCCTAGCCAGCTAGTGGTATAAGTTTACCTTTGTCAGTTTATTAATGTCACAATAATCCAACCCAGTATTTTATGTGGCTGAATCTTTTTGAATCAATTTTCTCATTCTGTCAGGATTTAACTGTAGTTACAGTTTATGCCCCACTAGCCTTTTACAGGGTTGAAATAAATTATCAATTATTTCTTTAGAAATCTTACAACTTAAAAATAATTAAGGAAATGATCTTAGTATTCCTTGTTTATAAAACACAAGATTTAGTAAACACAAGTTTATGCATTTAGGTATTTTTATATCTGGACAAATTAATTACTTGCCTTGGACTTGGATATATAATTGTGTCAATTGTATTTTATCAGAGTGTGCTGTTACAATCTGAATTAAATGCATGAAATACTTATACTTGCATATTTGTACTTAATCTCCTTACCTCGCCCCCAAAAAACATTTTTAGAAGAAAGTTAAAATATAAGATTAGAGAAATATATTTTGCCTCTGGTTTGCTTTTCATACATTGAGGGATATTAAGAGAGAGGCTTTTTTTTCTCTTACATGTGGGAAAGAAAGATGAAACTCATGCAATTCAGTCTTGGTATCTGCCCCTGCAGTCGATCATACTTGTGAAGTTAAGGGGTTGAGAGGGAAGAGGAAAAAACTATAAGAGATAAAGACTTGAGAAAAAGCAGAGATAAGCAAAGAAAGAACTTGGGTATTTGGGTACGTCAAACATACTATACAGTAGTTCCCCCCTTATCTGCAGGGAATATGTTCCAAGACCCCCAGTATCTACTGAAACTGCAGCTAGCACCAAACTCTATATATGCTTTCTTCCCCCCCATACATACATATCTTTTCACTTAAAGGAAGCATTTTACAGTTTTTCTTTGGCATATTCTAATTGCCAGCATCACTACTCTCGGGCTCTGGGGCCATGACTGTAAAATAAGGGTGAACACAAGCACTGTTACACTGTAACAGTGAATCTGATAACCTAGAGGGCTACTAAGCAACTAATGGGCAGAGAGCATATACAGCGTGGATATACTAGACAAAGGGATGGTTTACGTCCCTGGCCAGATGGAGCAGGACAGCATGAGGTTTCATCTTGCTACTCAGAGTGGCACACAATTTAAAATTTATGAACTGTTTATATCTGGAATTTTTCATTTAGTATTTTCAGACCACAGTTGACTGTGGGTAACTGAACCGTGGATAAGGAAGGACTGCTGTCATTGAGGTTATAGCATGTATGTATGCTTTGGATCAGTATGTGAATTAGATTTCTTGTCTTTTTCTGTACTTTATAGTTGCTTTAAAATGCCACTTTGGAGGTGTGGAAAATATGACTGAAACTTACTCTGGTGGTGAGATTTATTACATAAATAACTTCCTGCTTAGTAGATATTATATAACTTGAATGTACAGACCCTCTTACACATTTGGAGGAAAAGAATTACTCATTGAATGGGGAGTATATTATGAAAGAGGTTTGGAGCAAAAGACTAAACTTAAATTCTAGCTCTACCTTATTAGCTGAGTGAATATATGACTTAAGATTCCTGAAGTTTAATTTCCTCTTATATAAAATGAGCTAATAATACTATTTCACAGGATGACCTATAAGGTCTAAGTGAGATAATATATGTGAAAAGACATTATAATTATAAAGCTATATATAAATGGTAGTTGTTTTGATACCTTTTGCCTATGTGCAATACATAAAAATTCTTTTGCCATTGTGTTGACAATTTAAGTAAAATGAGTGTTACATAAAGGTCAATTGATAGCATTATGGAACTGTTTATCATCATTAAAAGGCACTATTACAAAATGTGTAATTCTTAAGTATTGATCTCCGAAGCATTTAAATCGTTTCTTGATGACACAGTGTAGACAAAGAGGGTCTGCATCCCTTTTTTTCCATCTAAATTTCTGCATAAAATAGCTAACTATCTGTTCTTAATTAATACTGTGAGATAATAAAGTAAGGGGAGATAAATTTAGCTGATTATTTAAGTTTTTCCAGGCAGTAAAACTACCCTTACCTAAGGTAATCTCACTGTTGTAAACACAGAAAGAACTATCTAGGTAGCAATACTGTTAAAAGTTTAAGGATGAATTTCTTAGAGGAACTCATTACGCTCTTGATGCTGCACAGAATGTGGAAATTCAAATTGCTTTACAATTATTTGTAAAGAAGCAGTAGGGAAAAGGAGGTTGAAAATATGCTTTTAAGTGTAATTGGTATTGCTTTGGTGATTTTTATTTTCCCACCAATTTCATTAAAAACCATCTTGATCACAATTTTTCATCTTCCAAAAGTACTCAAGAAGAAACGTTATGACATAGGCTTGAAATTTGTGTAGAATCTTAGAGTGATATTAAACACCTTTGAATCATAAATCTCAGTTTATTTACAAAGGTTAGCTGAGTATACATAATGCATTACAAAAGGTGAATTGGAACTCTAGTGTATAGAGGATCCATTTCTCATTTAAAAAATGTGTGTCCTCGTTAGTGTTTAATCAAATTTCTCTCATTCATATCTTACCAAATACCTGTACAATTTTTAAATTTTTTGAATGGAAAAGTTTAAGAATATTCTACTTTGCCTTTTGTTAGATTATTCTGAAAGTATACCCCTTCCAATATCTTAACTTTTCAAATAATTGTAAATGAAA